CCATGGAAGCCTGGAAGAACCAAACCCCTACCGTGGAGGAAGAGGAGTTGAGAAATAGAGGGAGATGGTTGGGAGGATGAGAAGCTCTGACAAAAGAGAAGAGAAAAAGAAGCAGAGCATATGGCCGCATTGGCTGTGCCACGAGAGCATATTTATATATATAATACAAATTGGGTTAGGCTACGATTGGGATTGGGATTGGGTTGGGCTGGACCCACTCGTTACTGAGGCGACGGGGAAGTGACAAAGGGCGTGGTAATGAACCGGTCGAATTCAATCGTCGAGTGAGTCGAAACGGGCCACTCTTGTTCGGTTCGGTTCGGTTCGGTTCGGTTCAATTTGATGATATTTCCTGTCACCGTTTGTTCGATTCAAATTTTCTTTTTCTTTTTTGGCTTTTGCAAATACGGTCAACATAAAGTAAAGATAAATTATTTGACAGAGAAGGATTTATTTGAAATCTAATACCTCTCTATCAACAATAGACGTTTTTATTAGGGGAGTGCCCTTGCGAGGAGGTCGAGGAGATGAAGCAGCCGCTCACACATCTGGCTCTTTCGAGTGAGAGAAGAAGACAAACCAGCTTAAAAATGGCGAGTGGATGAAGTCAGAGATACACACACAGACCGTGGCAAAAATCCATGCCAAGAAACCTCGTCTCCTATACCCAAAGCATCACAAAAACATCCCTTCAAGTATATACTCATCCGAAAACACTATGATCTCATATGTAATCTCACAAACTTCAAAAAGATTCAGGTCGAGACTTCCAGCCTCCGTTTTGGGTGTACCCATCTTTGGTCTCGAGGAATCCAAAACGCTTCACTCGTTTTTGACCGACCGGTGTGTCCTACTTGGACTGTCGTTCTCCTTGGAACGAGCAGATGCAAGGAGCAGCCGTGCGCCTAGAATCAAGCCGCCTCGAAGATGATAATGGCAAGGGGTGACAGATGGGGACGTGTTGCTCGAGCATGCGCTCACCACAGACACCCAAATGCATGCACGTTGGCGCGTGTCAAGCCCCGCCCAAGACTGCAGAGCTTGGGTGCTCATCTACTTCCAACTTGTCGTCGCGTCTCTCGTTCCCACTTATCTCCGACCTCCGCCACGGCCACGTCGTTTGGCCCCTCGCACCGTGCCGATTCACCTGTACATGTTGCAGATTCAGCTCCGTCCGTGTCAAGGCCAGACACGGCCACGCGGCGGGCGAGACGCGGGCTTCGGTCGTTCTCCAGGCCAAAAAGGCGCCGCCCGGCCGACATGTACGTTCACCCAGTCTGTATCGTGATCTGATCACAAGGGATCGTCCTGTTCCATGCATGCCTTGATAAATATACTTCTTCCTCCACTCCCTCTTAGTAGCAGAGGGGAAAAGAGTTGGAGATCGAGGATGGACATGGGCTGGTACGGAGGAATACGGTGAAGTTGAAATAGCATGAGACGATAAGCTCTGGAGATCAGCCTGGGTTGTCTTGTCTCGCTTTGTGATCATTGCCTATTCCTATGACGGAGAGTCCTGAGACGAACGGAGGAGAAAGTCTTTGGAGAGGTGGCACGAGACTCGCACCGCCTGGTACGACCACAGTCAACGATTCCGGTCGTGCCACGCTGTGTGCGTCTGGTGCGCCCCCTCTGCTATTAGCATCAGACTCTTGCCGTCTTCCTTCTTCCTCCTCCAGAGCTCAACTTGTACGGTGTTTTAAACAGGATACTCCTCGTCAGGAGCTTCTTCTTCTTCTTCTTCTTCTTTTTTATCCATGGCAGAGCACTCTCTTGTCTCTTTCAGAAGCTTCATTCTGATGGCTGTAGGATCGACCGCTAAAACTATCCACGGCAGATCGAAGAACACAAAGGTCAGGCAAGCAGTCCGCCGCCATGGCTTCTCGTGCATGCATGGGCATGGACGCAGGTACGTAAGTGTGCTCGGCTTCTGCTTCGGATTATATTTTGTTTCGACGTGTTCATTTTGCGTGGGTTGACTTTCTTTTGTGTCCAAGAACGCAACCACGTCAGCTTTAGCACGACCCTTCTACAGTGAGAAACTAATAAATATTTTGATTTCATAAATAATATGAAATAAAACTATTGATTCGTGCAACTTGAAAATAATAAAAAAATCGATAAATTCAATAAATATTTTGATGGGTTTTATTAGTGTGTGTGGCGTGCATGTAATTTGTCGGTATTATGTCGGTCTGCCGCGACGTTTCGGTTTGCGTTACACCGCCTGCGTTATCAACGCCATCCGAACTCGGCTCTCTTGTCGCCACCGCATACCAAAATCCTGATTCTAATCCTAAACCCTAGCGAGAAACATCGAGCTCCAGGCGTAAGAAAGCGGAGAAAGAATGCGTCCACGGCAGGCGGAAAGATCCAGAACAAGGATGGTGGCGGAGGTCGTCACGTCCGTTGTGGATCTCGAGCTCGGCACCCACATGGTCCTCTGGCTCAATCGATGAGTCCATCCCGCACACCATTCCCCTCAAGGTGCTATCTTTCTGTAGGTTGTTTGCCCTAACCTTTTGGCAAAGATTAGGATCCGTGGGTGAATTTGGTCTGGGTTGCTCAATTGCGTCGAGGTTTTGTTATTACTGTGTTCTCCCAATTTATTTCGTTGATTCTGATATCTTCTCAACTTGGAGAAGAAAGCTTCTTGGTATTTGAGCTGTGTGTGGTTAAAATTCCATTTATTGAGTTTCAAGTCATGGTTTTCATGTAACTGAGCTTCTCAATTTGGAATTCGTAGGTTCTTGGTACTCCAGCTATTTTCCATCTTTCGAGTTGAAGTCATGGTTTTTACGTAACCAAGACTTTGTTTTAGGAAATTAAACGGATCATTTTTTTTCCACGCTCAAAATGATACAAACAACTCAGACCCCGAAGTCTCAAACTAAAACAAGAAAAAAAACAGTTTTTTTTTTAGACACTTCTAAACCGAATTAAGAAGCCATGGGTTGTAGGAATCTACTTGGTATTCAGGGGTGAGAGGTTTGCTCTTGTTAGAATGTTTAGATGGGTGTTGTGATTTAAGGTTTGTGTATGTAAACTTTAGTGCCTTGGGATTGATTTTGAGAATCTTTCAAATAGAAATAGTCAAGTTACCTGGGTTTAATAAAAAACAATATATGACTGTTCTTGGTCATGATATAAAAGGTCCTGATATTCTGGACCAAGTCTAGTCTAGCGATGTATAATTTTTCTTGATATGGATCTAGCCCAAACCAGACCCAACCCATGAACAGGTCTTTACTCAGTGAAATCTGTGGTTTCTTACTCTGCCACCTTTTTTAACCTCAGGTACCCCTCTATCTAGTGTGTATTCCCAAATCTTCGATATAATGATAGTGTTAGATGCACTTGTTTACGTTGAGAGGCATGTTCGGAAAATGCATGAATTACATGCTTTCCGAAATGATCCTTGTTAGAGAATTGCTGTTGTACATCTGGAACAGTCCATTGATCATGTTCAAGTGAGAAGAAGTATCTGCATGAACTTCAATTGGATCAATAAGTATGGAGACTTGGATTGTGGCAAGTACTTGTAACATGATCCAACTGTCATCAGCTATACTCTAGATCATGGAGAAAATAATTGTCAGCTGTATTTATCTTAGTTGTCTTTGAATTGACTGTTCTCCGGGCCATGTGTGGGTAATGGTTCTAGTGTTCTATCAATCATCACAAAATATTTGATAGGTATGCAGCTACTATATGTACCTTCACATTCTATAGCAATCTTATTTTGGGAGTGTCTTCTATATAGGCTGACTGTGTAGCTTTGTATGTGCCGTCTCGATGAGCCTTCATAATTGAAAGTTTGGTCAAGTAAGCTTGTCTTTTTTTGCAGAAACTATAGGTATTTCTTGCCAACCTCTTTAGAAGCTCTTTTCTCTGTTCAAACCAACTGTTTGATTTCTGATTCTCAGTATACGACAGTAGCTGCTATGACCATTATGATGGAATCAGTCAAATCTGTAGCATAGTGAAGAACCTCTTGAAGATTCCTAGAGGAGAAAGAGATGTAAGATATATTCAACCACTACTATATAAAGAATCATGGTTGATACAGCTGTGGATTGTGTAACAAGATGAGTGGTTGGATTTTAACAAAGTGGTTCATAAATATGAAGATGTGGAAATACTACTTGTGGACTGTCGATGTACGCCATCATTTACTGAGATGCAGATCCATCGTGGAGGCATACAAGTTGAATATTTTTGAGGGAAATGTTACTTCCCTTTGAACATTTTGTTTTCTGTCACATAATCAACGCACAATTAGTGTGAACTCAATTAGAAAAAAAGAATGTCTATTATACCAAGAATTTCAGTTGGACCGAGTTTCATGTATTTGATCTAATTATTGAATAAATGACTAATATTGCAGTTTTTAAGAGATGCAGTGAAAAAGGAGAACAGTGGAAGAGCTAGACCCTTGGCTTGGAATTGCAATTACTTCTGACCATGGGCTCTGAGGTATATTGAAATTTCTGCCCTAACAAGCGTCACCTTTGTCTACTGCTGCAACTGGGGTCATTGATGAAATTGTGGAGCAAGACATAGTTGAATGAATGTGGTGCCATACCGAGGAACTGGATCCACGTTGCCATTAAGAAACACAGTGCAGGTCTGTGCCCAATTGTCAGTTGACTTGTATTGCTAGTGTCAGTGTTTTTTCTTATGAAACGTTGATGTGGATTTTATTGGCGTTCCAGTTGAGATTATTAAACTGATTCAACTTGACATCATACTTGATGCTTTTTTTACTGCCATTGAATGCTAAATTTCTCCCTCCATAATGCTACAGGTTGTCATTGTTGCAGAGATGGTCAGTGGTTCTTCGTCTTTGCTGATCTGCACCGCACCCCCCCAGAATGATACACTCAAGGCAACGCGGTCATTTGTGTTGAAACCAGGCCAGTTGCCATGGAAGCCCTTAATTCTTTCTTACGGTTTCACCCTGCTTGAACATCTCACAAGATTTTTGCTGAAAACAGGATGCCGACTGCCGGCCCCTTCGATTCAACAGCTGACCCGCCAGTTGCAGACCTTAACCTGCACGTGAGTGCACAATGAGCGTCGCCATCTGGGTAATGACGGGACGATGAAACATTACCTAATCTTCTGTCCTCATACTGTGTGTTGTCCGTAGTCACAATCATGCAGCAGCTGCCTCATGGTTGGATCATGAGGAGCTGTATCGAAGCAGGACGTGATCGCACGACAGATGCAGGCGATCGCCTCCACCGCTGAAGTGACTGCTGTGTCCACGCAGATGCAGCATCTCGTACCGTGCCCTCCTGCACATGTAAGAAGACTAACCTGCCATTGCGAATAAAAGCAGTTGAATTCATATTATCTGACCAACTATTTTTGCCTGCAATTATTGTCTGCAGGTAATTCCAGTTGCAAGCACTAAACGTAAATATTATCACCAAGTACACGAACCCCACCATCATTGAAATCGAAAGCTTACGGTCATGGTGGAGCACACTCTGTACTCTTCTGCTATCGTGGTTCACTGCCATTGGCCGGGGGTAAAGGTGTGTCCATGTGGCCTAAACGTAAATATTATCACCATGTCTGCCATGTCGGCCAACTTAATGGCATCGACATCAAACCAAGGTGTCCGGTAAACGATTTGGAATCATCTTAGGGCCCCATCTCGACGCTACCTCGGGTTAGGCTACTTCCTAATTATTGTTATCATTATTATGCTTTACTTACGTGGCCGTATTTTCGGTAATGAATTTGATGCGTCGGGGCCAATTGGCCCATTTAATCCGTTCATGTATGTATATATTGGGAAGAAGGAAAAAAGAAAGAAGTAATAGTCAAGTATGATATAATAATTAATGGGAAATATATTCCATTTATTCGCCCCCTAAAATAAGCACCAGCTTTAAACCCAAACGGTTTTTTGGTTTTTTGGACTTCAAATTATATCCCCTCAATTTAATGAAATTAATAAGTACTATGACAACCGGGTCGGGGGAGTGCTGCAAGAGTCGTGCAACTAATGATGTACCGGAGGGATGATGATGAGCTCATTGGATCCCGGTGGAGACATCAACCATTCACACATACTGTACTACTCGGCCAGTAGACGACTAAGGATGCAAATCGGTCAAGATGTTATCCAGCATGCAAAATGCTGCCCTCCTCTCTGTCTATCTCAATCTATCTGCCTTCTACTTTTCTGGCAACTGCCACATGATTGAGTCCTTGTCTGCCCCCACGCCAAGATCAAAAGGGTTCTCCCGTTCTCCATTAGCCACTGTCGCTTTCTCCCACTCATTTAAGCCAAGGAAAATAAAATTAAATTAATCTGGAAAAGATCTGTTGGGGGATCCCAAAATCCTACCAAGATTTACCAAAGTGGAAGGGTTGTTTTTTTATCCTGTTGCGTTTGTTGGTGTTGATTTCAGAGAGTAGTGTGGGTTGTTGCCATTGCTCGGTATTTGGATTCCGTGCTTGCTTCCTTGGTTTGGTCCCTTTCCATCCTCCCCTGTGCCTCTGGAGATCTCCTGAGGCCTTTGCTCGCTATCCTTTTTCCTTGAACGGTGGGAGGAAACATGAGGAGGCCATCACCTCTTCCTCTTCCTTGTCCCATTTGGATCCTCGGCTTCTTTCTCTTGGCTGCGCTCGTCGATGCCCAAATGCCATTCATGGCTTCCCCCTTTCCTTCCCCCAATGCTTCCTCTTGGAACCGGTCTATCTCTCTGTCTCCGTCGTCTCTCACACCGCCTCCTGCAGGTGCTACTTCTGATAATTTCTTTCTAGTTCTATATTTGAAGGACTAAATAGACAAAATTGCTTCTTTTCTCGTTTCGATCCATCGGTTTAGCTGATACTACAGAAAAGTTGTTGCTTTTTTGAGGTCGAGGTTTCTTTTCGGTCTTCTGATCTCTAAAGAAAATGTGTAATGAAGTTATTTTAGTTAGCTTTTTTATGTTCTTTCCAAGATTTGATTTTTATGAGGATCGTTTTCCATTGGTTTCATCATGTATCATCCTCCTTCTGTGGAATGGAATCCCATATGTCGGTAATGCTAACCTTTTGACTGCAGCCATGCAAATCATCGTACGGATTCAACATCACCATTACCACAAGGAACTGATCGTGGCAATCATCCTTGCCTCTGTTGCGGTGGTAGCGATCGTATCGTCAACAGTTTGTGCCTGGATTTTTTGGCAAAGGAGCCGCAAAACTCTTAATTCAGAGGACATTGAAAGCTCAGGTTCTGTAGCGGTACTGGTCTCTGATAGAATCACTATCTAATTGCTGCTGGTGTTCTGAACTTTGGACGATGCAGATGCTGGTAGAGGGACACCATTTGGACCAATTTTGGGCAAGTTCAATTCCTCGAAGGTGTCAAAGAAAGAACTGATGAGTGTGATTGACTATGAATCGTTAGAGTTGGCAACAAACAAATTCAGCGAGAGTAATATCTTGGGGGAAGGTGGATTCAGTTTTGTTTATAAAGCTTGCTTCGATGGTGAAGTCTTTGCTGCAGTGAAGAGATTATCTGGTGGGGGACAGGATTGCGAAAGAGAATTCGAGGTGAGAACCTCCTTCTCGGTTCTGGTTCTTGTTTTGGCGAAAAGTTCTAGCTTTTAATATTTGCTTTCTGTGTTGCCAGAATGAGCTGGATTTGCTTAGAAGAATTTGTCATCCGAACATAGTATCTCTTCTTGGTTATTGTGTGCATGAGGATGCTCGGTTTCTTGTATATGAATTGATGCAAAAAGGATCTCTGGAAGCACAACTTCATGGTACAGCTATATCCTATCTCATCGTGAGTTATTTATATCATGACAATAAAATCTGAAGCTCTAATTTAATTTCGGTGTTTATACGATTGCAGGACCAACTCATGGATCAGCTTTAACATGGCATATTCGAGTAAAAATTGCCCTTGATATAGCAAGGTATCTTGTGATGACACAACGATATTCAAACTGTCTTTGTTTCAATTACTTCTTGCATCTATCTATTTCTGAACCCTTCTCTTTTTCCTGCAATGGTGTCAAACAGAGGATTAGAATATCTTCATGAGCACTGCAACCCTCCAGTGATTCATAGGGATCTTAAGTGCTCCAATATTCTTCTGGATTCAGACTTCAATGCAAAGGTTCACGTGGCATAACTCGATCAATGACATTGTTGTTGACTAAATAAAATGTCATTGATCAAATGAATTCCTTTTGGATACAGATTTCAGATTTTGGCCTTGCGGTGACTGTCGGGAACCATAACAAAGGTGGCATAAAGCTTTCAGGCACTGTCGGCTATGTAGCTCCAGAGTATCTATTGGATGGTATGTGATATTTTCCATTTTTGTGTCAGCATACCTCTCTACCTCTGCTAATTTATCTGTAAACTTGAATATTGATATTTTACAGTCAACATGGTACTATATACAATTAAAAGGCATGAAACAGCCCAGCTATCTGGCGCACAACTAACTCTGATTTTTCAGGTAAGCTCACCGAGAAGAGTGATGTTTATGCGTTTGGAGTTGTTTTGCTGGAGCTTCTGATGGGTAGAAAGCCGGTTGAGAAAACTGCACCATCGCAATGCCAATCACTTGTCACATGGGTATGGTTCCTCAGCTTAAATTATTACACAAATATCGATGCTTGTGTATATATCTTGAGCAAGTAATCAACATTTTAACAATAGCTTCTGTCTTCAGGCTATGCCTCAGCTCACTGACAGATCAAGGCTTCCGAATATAGTTGATCCAGTGATCAGGAACAAAATGGATCTGAAACACCTATATCAAGTTTGTTCTCTAGCTAAACCCTATCGCTCTCCGCTCGGTTCGTTGCTCATGAATGTCATGTCATGGTGCAGGTTGCCGCTGTAGCTGTACTGTGTGTGCAGCGAGAACCAAGTTACAGGCCACTGATAACTGATGTGCTTCACTCTCTCATTCCTCTCGTTCCTACTGAACTCGGGGGTACGTTGAGAGTCACCGAGCCATTATCATGTGTGAATCAAAAATCTTCTGCTCACTAATCACACAAAGTATGACAATCACCTTAGCAAGCTTGTTAGTAGCACCGAAGGCTACACTTTTCTCTTGTTGATGCCCTTATATTTTTTTTTCTGTTCACTTGCATAAGCGAGCATCGTGTATAACTTTTAAATGAATTTAGTCACTGGTAGAATTGAGATGAAATGAACCCCTCATAGAAGATCTGTTTTATTTTGGGTGAAAGAAATCAACGCAGGGTGGTTTCATCACCGAAGATAAAATAGTATGGCTTGCTTATAAAGTATCAGGACCTTTTTTTTCCAGAAAATGCAAAGGAAATTTGAGTTACTTCAAATTCTTGAACTGCATGATGGAAACCCTTATTATACATACCAGTACCATTTTGTGATCTTCTGTGATCAGCATTCTTGAATCAACTGCTGTATTCCAGACCTATATAATGGGTTTAACATCTTCAACTCTTGAGCACTGTTTCTTTGAGAGATTATGTGAAGATAAATTCATTGTGCTTAGGGAACCAAGATTCATGTGAAGGACACTCACTTGTCAAAGAACTTTTGACAAGTAAAGACAGAGAACAAAGCCAAGTATATGCAAGTCTTTTTTTCTGAATACCTCATCAGTTATAGATCCAGAATGCTTTGTGGACTATGGCAGCAGTAGAATAATGTGAAGAGAATTTGTACCTCTTTATACAAACCATCTCTTCTAGTTTGATGTACACTCAGATTGAATGAATGAGCAGATTATATACTAAATCCTGTATTAATTTTGAGGGGTAGATATGAATGAGCAGATAATAGCTCATCCAGTTAATATCATGTGCTGACCAAGTCAATGCTACCACATGAAGCTTCTTAGTTTCTTCCTGTCCCATCAGATGATTGATGCCTACTCGTGTGATTTGTTTGCTTTTGCTAGAGTCAATAGATTAGGATATGTTATCTGCCAGTCTTGTCCAAAAGGATCATCTCTTCAAGACTCAGGGAATTACCACCTTACTGCTACACAATCTCTGTTTGACCATGTCTTCCCAGTTCTTGGAAGAAGAAAAATAACTACTTTGCATTCTTGCTCAAGAGAATGGCTAACAGGAAGTCATAGGCATACACAAGCGGCTAACATTTGTTTGATATTGACATGACATAGCAGAGTTGGAAGATGCCAACAGTTCCTGCACTAGTCTTGTTTATGGCATTAAACATTATAATCCTCAACAGTATTGTTCTTATTATTATAGTCCTTTGCAGCAAAGTATTGTTTGGTTCTTTGAGATCTAATTCCACAATTGCTGCATCAAACAAATCTTGCCAACAAAAGGAATCCACATCTGAAACTATTGGAAACAGAATATTGCAAGATGAGAGAGAGAGAGAGAGAGAGAGAGAGAGAGAGAGAGAGAGAGAGAGAGAGTAGAATAAAAACTAACATCACTCATATGCATGCCTTAATATATGAGATTTGGCTATTCATGTAATTAAATTCCCCTCAAACATTAAAAGAAAAAACATGATATGTAATCCCTAAATGACTAAATCAATCAGTGAAGCCAAACTTAGAACTTAATCCAACCCTAAAAGTCATATATTGATCTGATAACAGCAGAATGTGGAGTGATTAATGGAGAAAAAGAAAATGGTTAATGGCATTCCAGTTATAAATTTTCTGGATGTGGCATCAGTTACTTCCTATCAAAGCATCATAAATTGTCTCCTTCAAAATTCACCCCCTCCAGTTTTGTTCTTAATCCAATATAACTATAAAGAACACCCAATTTAAGAAAAAAAATCAATTTAAAAGCAACCAATTATATTCTATACAAAGATCAAAAGTCAGAAGAAAGTAGAAAGAGTTTACTGAACATGAAGTAGCACAGTGTGCAAATTGTTTTTGAGAGAGAAATTAGAATCAAAGCATTAGAAAGCTATACAGTCAAGTCAACTGCTGCTCTAGAGTTTAAGGGACAAGTCAAGCTTAGGCAACTCCTCCTGTCTAGGATTCAAGTGGTTACCACCACCGCCGCCGCCGCCAACCCAGTGCTTCCCACCCACCGCTGCTGCTGCTGCTATCGCCTCCTCGAACTTGGCCGCCGGCTGTGCTCTTCCTCCGCCGTAGAACTCTTCCGTCAACAACCGTCCTATGGCTGGCTGAGAGTTGGCTATCGGAGACCGCAGCCACCCATGCCGCCCGTACATCAAACCAGCGGCTGTTCCAATGTATGGCTTATGGATCATGGAGTGCACCTGCATGCCGAGCGGCCCGCCGGCGTATGACCCGTGCAGGGGCAGGTTCCCCATGCTTTCCGAAAGCCTGTAACCGACAGCGGCATGATCACCGAGCCCCAGGCCGCCGCGCTTAGCGAGGTTGCGCTCGCGCTTGTGCGCGTTCTGATGCCCGCCGAGCGCCTGCGAACTATAGAACTTCCTCTTGCAGTAGTTGCAGGAGAACACCCGTGGCTCCGACTCCGGCGACGCCGCCTCCTCCGGTGGCGGCGGCTCGGAATTCGACCAGCCGAGCGAACCGATGAGGTTGAGCTCGAGCAGGGGCGATGAAGACGACGATCCATCGTTGGCCGACAGACCCAAATCCAATAAGAAGTTGGTCTTCGACTCGTCTTTCCGTATCAGCTGCTGCGTACTGTCTCCTTCCTCCTCCCTCTTCTCTTCTCTCCTCCTCTGTTCCTCCTCCTCCTCCTCCTCTTCCTCTTCCATGACCCCCGAGTTCTCCGAAGGGCCGACGTCCATGAGAGATCTACAAGATGAACGATTGGACTACTTGGAGAATTCGTTCTTCTCCTGATGAATATAAAGAGAAAGTGAGAAGGCATGCATGGCAAGAGATTGAATGCTATCTCCCTAGTTTGGAAGGACGGACTGATCTCATAGTTTAAATGGAGTTACCGAAAAAGATGGCAAGGGAATAGAGAGAGAGAGAGAGGGAGAGAGATAATGCCTTTCAAAGAAACCCACACAGCTATTAATCTCTTACATTCCCCCTTCTCTCTCCTCGTCGCACCTTCTCTCACAAGACTTTCCATTTGCACCTTTTCGTGGATGCATATCTTTAAATGATTAAGAATAACAAGTGGAAGACAGTCTAAAACTCACCACATGAGATGTGATCGGTGCAAAGGGTTTACAACTGATACGAAGTCAACAGTATATGAGATTGGATTCACATAGAATATCTACTCATTCTTACTATTAACACTGGACTTTCTGTCTATGGTTCCAACAAGTTAGGGGATGATGAAGGTTCCACATAATTATATTTAGATCACATCCTGTTATTTCTTTATCTGGATGATTCACTTCACTTAAACAGTTGTAATTCTGATCTTATGAAAGAAATCTATAAAAATAAATACACAAATAATCAGAAAGAAATCAACATAAATCATGTTGAGAATAGTATGAGATGATGTCGGAAGGAAATCTGAGAATAATAAGCTGACTTTGATGGATTAGAATTAATTTAAGGAAACTCCTTGGTTGACAAGATAAATATGGATTACCGACTCCTTCCACATCATTTCATGTGTATGTGCAGATTCAACTTCCATGGCTGTCTTTTAGATCTTCGAGGCAGACATTTCAGGTAATGAATTGATCATTGACAACTTTGAGTTCCTTTGATTGCTCCATCAGTTTGACAAGCTTTAATTACTGCCAGTTACGAATATATACTACCTTCTTGCGAAGGGACTTGCAGTGTCCAATTGTCATCTGATATAAATCTTCCCATCAAGATCTGAATTCCTTGAGCAAAAATGAAAAGAGTAGAGATAAGGAATCTGCATGGTTGTAGGATGTCAATCTTCTAAATGAATACTGCTTCCACAGTCACGGCGATCTCTTTCTAAAAGATACAGTCGGAACGAGCGTGAAGGTTTCTCTAAGCAGATCATGCGAACATCAACCAGTCATCGTAATGGATGACAGATGGACAAAAGAGAGGACAACATATATACCTAAGAGATCAGATGAAGAACAGATGCCTTACGGTCTTATCATCATTCTGTTGATTGACAGTGTTGCACATTCCGTCGGTGAGGAGAGGTGTTTGTTCGGGGAAACAAATCCATTCGGTGGCTGCCCGATGAAGGGAGAAGAGATGTCAATGAGAAAGTAGGACCGTTTGTCTTATCGAAGGCCGACATGTGGCCGACAAATGGATAGGAGAAGCTTATGTGGAGCATCCAGAATCACTTGCCGGCCAACACTAGGGCTGTGCATGGAGACATGCATTCGCTTCCATGAACTAATCACTTTTGTTGGGTGTTCATCGCCTTCTTCGTCCACCAGCTTTCCACCTTACAAAGAAGATCTCATGAACTAAGACAGGCATTGGCTGAAAGTGATCAGTCCTGGAAATAAAAACGTGACTTGTTTGCAAGAAGTGCACGCACGTCTCTCGTGTCATGAGAGAACTTTGACAAGGTAAGATTGACATAGTTGAGTTTGGCCGAATGCTACTGGTATCTCGACGTCCGTATCTGCCCCCCGTGCACGCATAGTGGACAGAAAAGCTTGGGTTGGGAAAAGAGGCCACTAAGTCGTCCATCAGGAGATGTGGAAGGGGAAAAAAGTCAACATAATCACGATTAGAAGTCAAAAAGATCATCATTTCATTTCGATCGTGAAGCGAAGGCTTCAATAAATTTTAAATCTTATTATAATAGACCTAAGTAGGGCTAAGTTGATACATGTAACATCTTGATTAACTCATAGAAATATATATATTATTATTAATTTTAATTTAAGCATTTTGAACCGATGATTCATGCTTAACATAATTAATAAACTAATTATCTCGTCAGATTGGATCGTAATAGGATGAGAAACTCAAGTAGGAGAAGACTATAAGTAGATAAAGCTAGAGAGCGTATCATGGAGCCACTATTGGACTAAATCTCACCAGTATCATAATAGATCCGTTAAGTAAGAAAGATTATAACATCCTTAATTAGTGTCACATCATAAAACAGACAAAGATTAACACTAATTTATAAGACTGCTGTTAACTTTAGCTTAATTAAGCCCATCACACCTCTCTGACTGAACATATCATGTCCTCTGGGCAGCAATCTGTAGCAAATTAAGTTTAATACTAAGATGATGCTCATGCTCTGAAGAGTCTGCCTTTTTGCACTCCATCTTTTGGAAGAGAACCTTTAAAGAGACTCGACATATCTGGGCAACAGAAGATGAATCTGGGATAAATGAAACTGGGCAAGTGGTTGGTTTACATGACTCATTCGTAAAGGAACAGGGAAATATTTCAGTGCTCAAGTCGACAACTTGACAGTAGTAGTCTCACTTCAGCTGTTACTACTAACTCCAATGTAAAAATGATGACCATAGTACAAAACATAACCCAAAGCCAATGGTAGGGATGGATTTAGAGATTGAAGAACAGGTGTTAGATGGTGATTAGGAATAAGGATTGGGCAATAACAAATGGGATGACTGAGTCTAGATTTGTCCAGATAGAAACTTCACAGTGGTGGCATTGGAATCCCCATCCTCATCATATGCAATGCTTATTTAGTGGAACACATTTGAGTCTACAATAAAAGTCATTCCATGTATGAATCCCAGAACCCATTCCTAACCACAAATCATGCTGAACTAATGAATATGAAAACTAAGGTGAGCAGGCAAGCATCTGATTGCAGTCATATTATGAATCATCATTGTCTTTGGTGATTTATCCATGTGAGCCCAGTCCAAGTTTCCTATGATACATTGTTGGTTGAGCATCAAAGCTTGGGTTATGTTTGATGTTCAGAATAATTTGCTTTCATGTATGCTTATTTGTGCCTTTCATCCCTTCTGATCTAAGAAATTTCAACTCTTTGTATTCTTGCATCTATACATTGCATCAGTGAGGAAATGGGAAGATCAGATTAATCCACAGATAACTTCAAAAACTTGGGCTCATATTTGCTTACAAGATTAATATGCAGGATTTGTTGTGCATTTAAGATGTTCTCCTTCTCCAAGCTACCACAAACATAAAATACAGTAAGACATGTGCATTCTCATCTAACAGCTAAGCACCTGTGTAAGCATGAGTGCAGCTTATTATAGAAAAAGAAGATTAATAACAAAGATCAAGTACTAGAAAACCTCATTGGAAAGACAATGCAATCATAGAAAGAGAAAAATGGTCCATATATGCAACTTGCAATGGGTAATGGAAACAGCTATATAAATCAATCCTGCTGTGGCCCTACAAGAGTTTGTCTTCTTGCTATTCTCTGTTTCTTGTGTCTATTTGCCACTCATGTCAAGCCACGACCAAGAAATGTTCTAATGTTATGCCAAACTTGAGAGGCCATTTCATCCCTCCGTGATTACGCTAATTTGCATGGCTATGAAAGAAGAACATGATTACCTGATTTCTAGGGTTGAGCAAATCACTCCCGAGGACTTTCCTGGATGTAGCAGTACACTAGATTAATAATATTAGGACAAATGCATATAATCAATGGAGCTTAAAGATGAAGCATGTGAACCATTAAGGCATGAGATGAAGCTAAGCAATCAACATAACATATATATACATTAGCCCTGAGACATCGTCTCTCACGGAAAGTAAAAGTATCGCAGCATATAAGTTTGTTCTCTACGGAGGAATCACTTGCGCATAAACTCTCACTGCAATTTCCATATGGAATAAAGAAGGCATTGCAAGATCCTCCACCACTGACGTGTGATCCATTCCAAAGATTCTTGTGACTACTATAATGAGGATAAAAGAGGCTCCAACCACACACTCCATTCGTCGCAAGTATTCTAATCCTGAAGCCGACGAATGGATCATAAACTACAGGAATGCGTACACGCCTTGTGGCCATCACCTGATGAAACTTTTAATCATGCAAAGGTGTGCAGGCACAGCTTTGAACAGAAGCCAAACTTTGGAGGAGTATTGAATTGCATGAAAGTACGCTAAAGCTGATCTCCTTGAGATATAAATGCAGATATCGAAAACCCATCTCTTAATTGCTGCAGTGTCATCTTCTATGGCTCCACTTGCATTAAACAACCTGATCTCAAAGATGAGACAAAAGTGTTGTCATCCTTATTCTCGGTAGTGAAGAATGCTGATGGCTTTTGCGCACATGGTTGTGTATATTTTATTGCCTAGTGCTTAACTTGGCGAACAATTCCAAAGCTTCTCCTCATCAGTTGCATTTGAAGGTACAGTTGATGATCGAGAGAGAGAGAGAGAGAGTTCTTTTGTTCCTTTGGACACCCACTCGAAGGGTTTTCATCGTCTGCTTCTTCTGAGCTCCCTTCGCTGGTGATATCTTGACGCCCTTTCCACACCCCGACGACAGAGACCCACAAAAAGAACCCCACCCCCCTCAGCCTCAGAGACGCCCAAACGCGACATCAGCCAAACATCACAAGTGGGACCCGCCAATCGGATTCCCTCCCGACCGAAACGCGTTTTCCAACTGCTCCACGCCACGGCCCCACTGGGATTCCGCCAGTCGACGTGCACCACGCGTCGTCTCGGGCGGCCCGCGGATGGCCGTTGGATCAGCCGGCCGGACGCATTTCGTCCGCACAAAAAAACTGCCACCGGAAACGACCACCGTCGCGACTTCCCCCGCGACATGTCGCATACAACTTGTACCCTTCTCAAACATTAGAAAAGACCCCTACCGGCTTCGAGCAAATGATACGTATGACATGACCCTACCACGGTAGAGGATGCCTTCCTTGGGGAAAGGGGTCTTGTCTCATATGAGCAAAGCAGGCGAAAGCGAAAGGGACTCTTGGAAAGATGCCCCAAAGGCCAAGGTTGGTCCCTGTTGTGGTGGGTCTCTGGTGCCTGGTCAGTAAGAGGATCGAGTGAACCAGGAACCAAAGCTTCACCGGCGGTCATGGAGGCTTGATTGGCCAAAGATGACATGAAGACAAGTGAGATGTTGCTGTGCTGTGACTGCACATGTTGCATTCTTTATGGTTCAGCCATCTGAATGTTTTGGTGAGTCAAAAAGTTCGTCATCTACAAAGTAATTGTTAGGCCAAAGCATTTACAGCTTTCAGATCCAATTCCACATACACCTACGGTGCACTGACACGGAGGTAGTAGGTTGCACTTTTAGGCAGGTACAAGTCCACCGAGTGGTAGTGGGGATTGGTCCGCAGATGATGCTGACACAAACTTGGGTGCTCGGCCGTTTCAGGCTGATGTTTATGTGATGAGTTAGTGGTTCGACACTGTTCTTGACAGCCAAATCATGATAAGGACATGAAACTTGGGGACATGATTTGCTTGTTTTAGGCTGATGTTTGACGAGTATGTGGAAGGCAGCAAAGGGATGATCTCATGGCACCCCTCTTCTCTTCCCATAGCGCCGGGTTTGTGATATGAAGAGTGAGACCTGAGGCTGTGTGAAATGCACATTCTCCATTGTAGGCACCTAAATATCAAGAAATAACAACTGCAATTACTTTGACCACATGAAGCACACATTCTATACCAATCATCACTGTTTCTTTTTGTTTTTTTTAATCTCTGTGGCTGCTGTTAAAGGCAGCAAATGTCATAAAAGTGAGTGAGCAACACATCAGCTCAACAAAGAGTCACTTTGTAGGGAAGAAGCTATCTATCATGGTGATGAACATGATATGCTCCAACTTGTGGTCCTTGGGAGATTAAACAAAGGGCAAAAGTCTTATCCTTAGCAAGGCTGCAAGGATTAAGAAGTGGGTCATGAAGCAAAGCAACATTAGAAACATCCACAGAGGTGCCAAAAAAAATTGATGCGAGGACAAGGTCTGGCCCCTCGAGCTTGTTGTTTTCCTCTCCCAGAACTCCCTAGATTCCAGCCTTGCAAGATTTTTTCCACTGTAATTGCTTGTGCTTATTGATGACAAAGTGGAAGTAGGGCAAAGAGGAGCGGCATCGAGAGGCGGAGGAAAGGAAAGTTTCCATTTTTATGGGTGCATGATTGAGGCCTCAGCCCCAATCCCAGCCTCTGTTGTCGTTGCTTTCCCTGTTTGACTTCCACACCTTCTTCCTCCTTGTACTCCCCTTCTTCCGCCCCCTCTTTACCCCTCTGTTCGCAACCCTTCTTTCTGTCTATTCCATTCAAAGGTTGCATCTTTTGCTCTCTCCGTGCCTCTCTCTTTCTCTCTCCTGTTTTCATTCTTCCACCGCAGTGTTTGCTTTCGAATCCTCTCTTGCTTCTTGGTGGTCTTGGTGGTCTTGGTCTGCATCTTGTCTTTCTTCTCTTAAGAGAGGTAGAAGATTGCTTTGTGACCATGACAGTGGAAGAAAGGAAGGGGAACGCAGATCAGTTCCCTGCGGGCATGCGTGTTCTAGCGGTGGATGATGATCCCCTTTGTCTCAAGTTGTTGGAGGCCCTGCTACGCCGCTGCCAGTACAATGGTTTGTACCAAAATTTGGATCTTTCTTCTCTGTTTCTGCTGCTGCCGTTGACATATTGCTCTCTTGTTTGTGTTGTTTGTCCACATCTTGTGTTTCGTTTCCTTTTAACAAAGCATCATTATGTTACGTTCTCTCTGTGCTCCTCTCCTGTTCTTGGTTGATCATCTTTTCTTTTTGCTTCGGGAATTAAGAGTTAGAATTTATGGAATTATTAGCATGTCTTTTCATGTGTTCTTCAGTTACGACCACCGATAAAGCGATCACGGCATTGAATCTGCTAAGAGAGAACAAAGACAAATTTGATCTGGTTATCAGCGACGTGCACATGCCGGATATGGATGGTTTCAAGCTTCTAGAGCTTGTAGGCCTCGAGATGGACCTGCCTGTTATTAGTGAGTCTCAGAAATTTCTTGTCACGCTTTCAGTTAGTATGAGGACTAATCCTTTTTGTCGTTTGTCAAACCTGACGACAAATTGTTCCCCTTCGTCAAATCAGCTCTAGAATAATGATTGATGTGTTACTGGATGATGTGGTTGCTGAACGAGCTAAGTTCATGATGCAGTGTTGTCTGGCAATGGCGAAACCCAAACTGTGATGAAGGGAATCGCTCATGGTGCTTGTGACTATCTGCTAAAGCCTGTGAGGATCGAGGAGCTGAGGAACATCTGGCAGCATGTCATCCGGAGGAGGAAGTTTGAAAGAAGATGCCACAATGATCTTGATAGTAGGGAGGATGGCCAAAAGGCTCAAATTGTGAAATCTGAAGATGGCCAAGGGGCAGCTGATTGCTATGAAAAAGCTAATAAAAAACGGAAAGATCAGATTGAAGATGACGAAGATGATAGTGATGACAACATGCAAGAGAATGAAGATCCATCCTCCCAGAAAAAGCCGAGGGTTGTTTGGACTGTCGAGCTACACAGAAAATTTGTCATTGCTGTTAATCAACTGGGTATTGACAGTAAGTATCATTGATCACTATTATGCTTTTCTTTTAGGAGAGAAGAAAAGGAAAGAGGCCTTTGATCTTAAAAATGTTTTTGTGATCTTTTGCTCGACTTGGTAAGTACTGATTAAAAGTTTCTCTACTTGTTCCTTCTAATGCAGAGGCTGTACCAAAGAAAATACTTGATCTTATGAATGTTGAGAAGCTGACAAGGGAGAATGTTGCAAGCCATTTACAGGCATGTCCTTCACTTTAAATGATTACAGACAAGATTTCAGTATAAATTTTATTATAGAGTTGTTGTGTTGTAAAGTTATCCCAAGTTCTATTCCTGAAATCAGCCCATATAATTGCTTTCTGTGGGTTGATCTAATTAGCTAAATGGACAGTCCCCATCTAGGATGCTAAAAATAGTCATGAGTGACGATTTAAACATGATTACTCAGCAGTCAGAATTCATGGATCATTGTGATTAAGTGCTCATTTGTCTTCTGGTAAGCCAGCAGTTAATTCTCCTGTTTTATGATTGCAGAAGTATAGGCTGTACCTGAAAAGGCTCAGTGCTGTGGCAGGGCAACAAGCTAGCATGGCTGCAGCCATAGGAGGTAGAAACTCATCCTATCTTCATATGGCTTCTTTGAATGGTCTCAGAAATTACTATGCAACTGGAGGATCAAGCCAACTGCCAACTCTTGGATCTTTTCAACCAAACGGAGTGCTTGGTAGAATGGGTAGTCCATCTGCCCTAGGAATGCATGGGCTGTTGCCTTCTCAGACAGGGCAGCTTGGCAGTGTGCCGAGCAGCACGAGCAATCCATATAATGATTTAGGGAAGATCCAAGGGACAACATCACCGGGAAATTCTCAAATGAATTTGCTTCAAGGGTTACCCGGAACTTTGAACTTAGAGCAATTTCAGCAGCCTAAGTTAGTGCAGGAACCAAAAAAACACTTACCTGCAGGCTTATATGGAAGTGGCCTTGCTGCTGGTCCTTCCACTGGTTCTTTTCCAAATGTTTCAAACAACCCTCTGTTACTGCAACCAAACAAGCAGCATGACCGATCAGGAGGATTGGGCAATTATTCATCATTCAGGATGTCTCCCTCGAGCTCAGATTTCGATATTGATCTCCAAGATATTTCCCAGTTTCCTCGTATTAGTAGATATAATGACTCGTGGCAAGGTGCTGTTGTTTCATCAAGGGATTCTGCCAATGCAGTGCCTATACTTGCCTCTTCCAGTCATAACAATCTGTCTCCTGGTAATATTGGAGGAAATTTTTCTTCGAGAACTCCACATGCAGCCACCAAAATGCTTGATGAATCTCCAAACATTGTGGCTGTTGCACCTCTGAGTGATCCAACAATAAGTAATAATATACAAAACCAAGTTTGTTCACTTAGTGGGAGCACAATAGCTATGCCTGCAGGTTTCAACAATGATCCAAAGTTGTCGAAATTCAATATAACAGGCAACTCTAGACAGAAATGGGATTATATCTTCAATTCAAATGAAATTTCAAGTACTTCCTCAAATCCTTCATTGCCCAATCTTCGAATTACTGATGCAACTGCTCAGTGTCAGGCATCAGAGAATGTCTTCATTAACAAAAAGTTGGATGTTGACGCAATAGGCCAAGTACATTTTGGTGCTCCACTTGTCACTCAGGCTTGCATGATTGACAAGTTAATTAGTGACAGTCCGCAGAACTTTAGAGGTGAATATGCAATGGCGACCACAAGTTTGCAGACTGGCCTAAATTCTACTGGTTGCAGCTTGGATGATGTTGTGAATGCTATGGTTAAACCAGTATGTGTCCTTTCCCTTTCTGCTTGCTATCAGTTTTTTATATTACTTGCTCTTTTTGTGATGTTGCTACTTTGTTAGTATATGTGATCCTACCAAATGACTTTTTAGATTAACTAGTTGAAAGGATCTTTACAGTCAACTTTATTGTGTTTGTCCTATCCATGATATACTGAGACATGGCAATTTCTTGTTGGGTCTTTCTGCTAGTTCAGGATCATCAAAAGCACACGGTTTTCTTTTTTGTGGAATGTAGTAGTCATAAAGTCCTAATTAGCATGAGATGATTAGGAATATGATGGTTTATAAACCATCTAAACTTTTCTGTAGTTGATTAGTTTCAGGAAATTTAGACAGTTTTCTTGTCTACTCACTGAGCTCGGACGCCTTGCTCTGCGAGGAATCTTATTAACTTGCATCCAATAATGATGATGGAAGCATCTTGACTCAAAAATGAATGTAGTATCTGAGATCCTCTACATATTCATTATCTATGAATGGAAAGCCTACGGTTCTATTTCTTTTCTACTTATCAGCCACCCATATCTTTGCAGAACAAACCTCACTCCTTAGAATGCTGATATCCTGTGTGATGGTAGGAAAGCAGGAATGGCATCACAGTAAGATGTATTGGCTGGGTTTCTCCAGGAATGTTTTCTTTAGAAATGGGTTCATTGAGTATGGCCGATTGTGAACCATTAGTGGTGCACTTTGGGCTACATGAAGAGTTTTACGGAAGCTAATGCTGCCAATTTGGTATCTAGCAAATGACAAGCCTCCGACAGCAGGAACTGATTATTTCTGAATAGAGATATTCACGTTGGTCTGTCGGTGATTGTCGAGATGACAATATGATGACGAAGTTTTCCAACTTCTGGTTTTACTCTGGGAATGTAATTACTGCTTCTTGAAACTCAAGTTAACATCTTTCGATTAATGGTTTGGTGAACAAGATATCATGCCTGAGGTTTGCTTGTTCTGTGTACCAAATACTAAACATTGCTAAGAAATCAGAAGCAGCTCTCATGACGTAGAAATCATTTCTCAATTGGTCAGAAGAATAGCTACATGCACATCTTTTGACAGCGGCAACTTTCTCATACTGTATTCTTATCACACACCAATGAAAAAGAAAAAACCCTCATGGTGCAATCAGTTCTTGTGTTGATATCAGTTGATTGAAATAAAAAGTATGTTAATATAGAAATTGGACTTGCCTGGTGGCATGTTATAGGAATTTGGTTCTTGGTAGTATGCTTCTCGTACTAAATTTTTCTTCTTATACATCCAACTTGTTGACTGTATTTTCCTCAATAAATGAGGCTGATGCTAAAGTATCGGAACATAAGATTTTTGGATTTTGTGGATAACTTCATGTTCCTAACCATTGTATCAGATTATGTAATCAACCATTGTAAGATCTTTTCAGATATCTAATTGCATGTTTTCTGTGCCATTCAGGAGCACGACGACATCGCCTTCTTGGATATGGACATGGGATGTGAAATCTACCCTTTAGGAACTTGCATGTGAAGGAAGGTCTTTTGTGTGAAGGATCTTGATTAAATGGTCTCTGTTAGGATTATTGTGTTTGACAGTATTAAGATCGTATAATGGTTGTAGTCTGTGGGTTTCTTGCAACGAAGAAAAAGAGTGTAGATGGGTGGAATTGGTGGTATTTGCAACATGGAATTTTGTACTGTGCACAGCTTTTGGCTTTGGATTGAACCATGCGAACCATGCTATCAAATAACGTATGTTTGAGCTCGATGAATGATTATATATATATATATGGGTGTTAACAACCTGAAGAACAACTAATCATAATAATGCAGTCTCTGTATTATGCCAACCAAATCAAACAGAGTGAGATCCAACAACCTAATCACCAGATCTTTATGCAAGCAGGATAGCCTGAATGAGGCAAACAATTCATTATGCTAAGCAAAAGCTTAGTTTTGTGTCATGGTGTTTTGAGTCCATGTGTCTGGTTGTGTGACATAGATTCCCTGTCAAGAAACTTGATCACCTTCAGTTTCTCAAAGATTCCCCTGTCAACCTGTTTTTGTAGAATTAGGAACTAATTCTACAAGTCTCTTCCTCAGGTGCATATTCATATTTATCATTGAGCCACCTACTCCAAACAATATGATCCCAACATGACCAATTCAATGGGCATCAATAAGATATCATTCATGCACTCCCAAATTGAATCTCTCATCCAAAGGAAACCTGAAGGAACAAGCAATCACAAAAGCAAAAAACAAAGGAACTTGTTCAATTAATAAGCATCAATTATAATGACAGATCAAAGACATTAGAAGTGGCAGGTGCATGAATAAAATGGTATGTGCAGCAACAAATGTCAATATCACTCTGACCTTGAGCATCTGAACCAACAACATTAACATGATATATAACTCAGTTTTCTAACTCACTGAACTTGATAGAATCCTCAAACAAACAGCAGTATCAGAATACAAACATAAACAAAAGGGAAAAAGAATGGAAAATGACATACCTGTTGTCCAAGTCCAACTACAGGAGCAATTCAGACTTGCTGCTACTAGAGAAGAAGAAAATAGTAGAACTGAACATTAGACCAGTATAATAATTAACGAGTATGGACCAAAATGATCAAGTATCACAATCCGTCCACCATAATCCAGAAACTAAAGCATATATCTTCACAGTTCACAGAAGAAAGAACAGAGAAATCTAATAGAAACATGCTAAAGGAGAGACCTTTCTTCATTGAAAGCTGTAAGTACAACATGAGATGGAAGAAACAACAGATTCACAAGTAAGAATGGACCACGTCCTTTTCTTTCCCTCAAATCTATTCATGATTTATTTCTAAGATGCGTTTCCCTAATTCTGGTTGTGAGCACTCTCAATATCCAACCCAAACAACAAGCCGACATACTTCTCCATGGACCCAACAAAGCGGTGCCCGCGCATCTTCATGAAGGCCCGGGCGGTGAGCAAGCTGTCGGAACCCGCTTGGTGGCAGGTCCCAACCCTCTCCACCTCCAACTTCTCGGCCACCTTGTTGAGGCCCCCATAAAGGTTGTTGTTCAAATGGATCACGCGCTTGATGTCGTACACGACGGGGAAGAAAACATGGAGGAGGTCCAAGAATTCTTTCCGGGTCTCCGGCAGCTTCCTGCAAGTTAGGATCTTTATGAGGTACCCGAAGTCGTAGGCGCCATGGAAGGCCACCCAATGGATGGAATCGTTAAGGACGACGCCGGACGACATGAACAGCTCCGCGAACCGCCTGGCGTCGACACCGTCCTCCCGGTTCTTCTTGAAGTCGATGCCAGACTTCCTGAGGAGGTCGATGGAGTCCGGGACGAAGACGTCGCTGTCAACGTCGAACTCCCGGAAATTGAACTGCCAGACAACAGGGCGGCCGGAGGAAGGGGAGGTGGGGAGGTTCCCGGCGGCGTCGGAGAAGGTGAGGCCGAGCTGCAGGAGGTGGAGGAGGTCGACGTTGGCGCTGAGGGAGTGGTAGTTGGCGTCAGCGGGCTGCTTGAAGTCCCCGAGGTGGCGGATGACAACGCCGGGGAACTCGGTGTCCATGGCGACGTAGGGGAAGTCGTCAACGATGTCTCGGATCACAGCGAACTCCGACTCAAGGTTTCCGGCCCACACGTCGCGGATCTCGACGGCGTCTTCTTCGCCCTTCGACATCGGTGGTTCCAGATCCGATCGGTTGTGCCGTCAGGGAGCAGGCGCATAAGAAGCCCCAGAAGGTCTTCGGAAACCCCAAAAAACCCTAGATCCGGCCGAGACAGAATCGAAACCCTAGAACTGGAAGAGGGGAACGAGAACTTAGGCCGGATCGGAGCGATTCCAGCGAAGATTTAAAAGGAATTTGGGGCAAAATGGAAATGTTCTTGTCCGTGGGAACAAGAGAGAGAGAAAGAGAGAGAGAGAGAACAGAGAAAAGAGAAGAGAAAAAGGAGACGCCTTTGGTAATTTGCTCAGTCTTTATGGGTCAAAGAAGAGAGGGGAAGGGAGAGTAGGCGCCGAGAAACGCGTTTCCTACTCACGGCTGTCTAAATACCAAATCGTCGAAACCCACACTCCCATGATTGCCAATATTAGTGGGCACATAGCGGGTCCTACTTTTTCATGCATCGATACCTCTAGTCACAAAGCAAGTACGTCGATGGGTACACAGAAATCGTATAAAACTACATCCTTTACAGATACCACATAATAAACGCACATAAAACCACTAATCTGCTAAATTGGTTTATAATATTATAAGAATAAAAATATATAGTTTACTAACTTGCAATAGTATGTCTTCGCAAAGAAAAGAATATGCCGAATGTAAATATATATAAATATATATATAAAGTGTTGATACAAGTGATCATAAATAAAAGATGAAAAAGACAAAAAAAAAGAGAAAAAAAGGTCGAAGGGAGAAGAACTGATGAGAGTCAAAGGGAGGACTTCTAAGGAGGTGAGCTTCCCACGTTGTGAGGCCGAGAGAAAGATCCCAATGTGGTCATACAAGGCGACTGCAATACTGCTGGGGAAACCCACAGGAAGGAGCTGTACACAGTTGGTTGCTGGTGATTGAAGTCACCATCCGGAGTAGACGATGCGTTGGATTCTTCTCGCCCATCAAAGTAGCAGAGTCCCACATGTGAGTCACACTCTAAAAATGTCTCCGGTTCATGAACCATCGCTCTCTCTCTCTCTCTCTCTCTCTCTCTCTCTTTACTTTTTGGGTGTTGAAACAGTGATCTGATCAAAGGAGGAGGAGCATTGCCTTGGGGTATCATCTCCTCGAGCTAAACTGGCAATGGTCACAACTTGCAGAAACGGAGCAGGCCACAGTGAGAGTTGCAGGCCATCATTATTACTGAGTACTGGAGCTCATTGTTCATGCATCTGTTTCATATGATACTAAAACCACAGCCCCACCCCAATTATTTGCACGAGTATGCATGAAAATTGCTTATGATCATGTCATTGCACAGGATGAGGTGTGGAGCTGCTGCTAGCAGACATTTGATACAGCTTTTATTGTGAAAGTTTAGAAGCTTAATGCATGTTAAAGAATGAATAATTAACATGGTAAAATTATCTGCTTGCAACTATGAATGTTAGCAACTTGGGTTCGGTTTGGTCTGAACTTGCCCGACGCAAACCCGATCGGGTTGGGTTGGGTTGGGCTTTGTGGGAATTTGAACCTAACTTTGAACCAAATCCAATCAAAAGCTAACTTAATTCATAGAATTCAGCTATATATGATATTAGTAAATAGATTTGACCCGACCGATCTCTCACTTGATCCGATCCGAATTTTGATTGGGTTCGATTTGGAAGTCCAATCAGAGGGCAGGTTGAGTTAGGATTGACCTCCGATACAATCAAATCATCTGAGTTGTTGTCTTACATGAACCTAACCCTCTCCAATTGTTTTGCTCGTTTGCTTGCTAAGAAATATTATCACTTATGGATCATATTTTGTATCTAAGATGATAGGTAATATACTATAGGTTAATCAACATTCGATACATAACTATAATGCGGAGTTCAAGTCATCTTCCATCTATCCATTGGCATAGACAAGAGTCCAAAGAATATTCCATGAAGTATTTCTTCTATCCTGAATATTTTATCCTTTACGATCAATATAAAAATATATCCTTAATATAACAAGATGATGATACGTTTTTTTTTAACCACTCAGAGTTCGTACTCTCAAACTTAGGGTTACTAACTTGGGCGTTAAAGGAATCGGATCGAAAAAACTCTATCTTTCTCAATTTTTGCATAGGTAACACCTCGAGAGCTCAGTGTTTCCACCTCGGAGGCACCTCAGGCAGCCCTATGCATATGGGTCCAAACTACGTCAAATTGACTAAGACATCGATGACTTATTCTCCTAATAGTTTTTGCACTAGAAGAAGAGTTCAATGTCATAGGAATGCCCGTCGACCAACCCTCTCAATGAACACTCAAGCGAAGGGGCTCTGTCCCTGACCAATAGTACTTTCTCCTGAGGCATGACTGATAAAACAATAGCCTCACAAGTTTGCTCCTAATCGCTAGCAAATAATTAGTGATGAGATAAACAACCTATTATGAGTAGGGTTTATTGTTAAGGTGCACTACTCCTAATGGCTCACTAATATTGTACTCGATGAAAAGTCTAATAAAAACTCGATAAGGTTGCTTGATTCTATCGATCTCAACAAGGCATATCTAAAGGATAACTATTTTGGGTCATGAGCCTCTCTCCTTTATGGATACATTCTCAAGAATAACCAAATAAGAATGGTATCAAAGAATCAAAAGCATACTTTCTTTATCATTGACCGAGACATGTATTGCTATTGAGTCATGTCATTTGGGTTGAAAAATATAAGGGCAACATACTAACATATGGTGAACAAGATATTCAAGTATCAGATTGGAAGGAACATCAAAGTGTATGCATATGACATGATAGTCAAAAGCAGAATGGTTTACTCATATTGATGGACTTGATTGAGATATTTCAAGTTCTAAAAAAATTCAACATGCGCTTCAATCTGGCCAAGTGTGCTTTCAGAGCTAACTTGGAAAACTTCCTCGGATTCAACACACACCGCAAGGGAATAGATGCAAACTTAGAGAAGGTGTGAGCCATATTAGAGATGTGCCTACCTTGGTAAGTAAGGAAAGTCTAACAATTAACAAGGCGAATAGCAACACTCAATTGATTCATATTCTAATTAAGTGATAAGTGTATACCATTCTTTCAGGTAATAAAGAATCTAAAGAGCTTCTTATGGATCGAGGATTATCAGGAGGCTTTTGAAAGACTAGAGCATTATAAACCAAGGAGTGTTAGGAGACTTTTGAAAGGTTGAAGCACCACCTCGCCTAGTTATAACAACTCTCCTCCTCTACTTGAGCGAAACTCTGTCTTTATTTTGCTACCATTGACTTAGTTGTCAGCTCGGTGTTGATTCGAGATGACTCAGAAGCTCGACATTTTCATCTCGGAGGTACATCGAAAAACTATATGTATATAGGTTCGGACTACGTCAGGCTAACCAAGACATCAATGATATAGAGAGGGAGTTAATTTTTCTCCTCTTATAATTAAAACAAGTGTCCCATCAGGATAATTTCAAAGAGACACCATTGGATAAAAGGGTTTGAAAAATATTAAAATCTACCATAGTGGAGTCACAAAGTAAAATGTGTCTTAGGAGTCTGAATTGGTAAAACTCACCCCGCATAAAAAGATTTGTCATGACGAAGGTACAAATCAAAATATGCCTGAGGAATATAAGTTGAAAAGATTTGACCCATGTAAGGAGATTTACCATAATGGAGATACAAAGCAAAATATGCCTGAAACATATGAGTTGAGAAAATCTAATATGCATAAAGAGATCCATCATAGTAGAGGTACAAAGCAAAATATGCATATGGTATATGTGTTAGAAAAACTCGATATTCATAAAAAGATCTATCACAACAGTGGCATAAAGCAAAATATGCTCGAAGCACAAAAGTTAGAAAAACCCGACCCACGTAAGGCGATTCATCATGGTGGAGGTCTAAAGCAAAATGAGCTTGAGAGGCGTAAGTTGGGAAAACTCGGCTTATATAAGGATATCTGTCATAACATAGGTACAAAACAAAATATGTTTGAGGTATATGAGTTGAAAAAACTTAACCCACATAAGGATATCCGCCATGGCTAAGACACAAAACAAAATGTGCCCTAGGGCATGAGTTGAGAAAACTTGACATATGTAAGGAGATCCACTATGGTGAAAGCACAAAGCAAAATATGATCAAATCACGTGAGTCGAGAAAACCTAACTCGTGTAAGGAGATCTGTCATGATGGAGGCATAAAACGAAATATGCTTGAGACATGTGAGTTGAAAAAACCCGACTCATATAAAATGCGCTTGATATGTGTGAGTTGAAAAACTTGACTCGTATAAGAAGTTATACTATGGCGGAAGCATAAAATAAAATATGCTCAAGGTGCATGAGTCGAGAAAATCTGATTCATGTAAAAAGATCCGTCACAGCGGAGATAAAACAAAATGTGTCAGAGGTATATAAGTCATGAAAACCTTACCCACATAAGGAGATTTGCCTCAAATGAAGGTACAAAGTAAAATGTGTCACAAACACATGACTCAGGAAAACTCGACCCACGTAAGGAGATCCATCACAATGAAGGCATAAAACAAAATATGCTCGAGGCGCATGAGTTAAAAAAGACTAACATACATTATGAGATCCACTATGATAGAAGCATAAGGCAAAATGTACTTGAGTCGTGCGAATCGGGAAAACTCAACCTACGAGAGGAGTTTCTGAACGCTCTTGTGTCAGATAAATTAAACATCGCACTTCAAGCTCTTCTTGCAAAGAGGGGAGGGAACAAATGATAGAAAATATATTATTATTTAATCATCATCTGATACATAATCATCATGTGTAGTCCAAGTCACATTCCATCCATCTATCTACGTGGACAAGAGTCCAAAGAATATTTCACGAAGCATTTTCTCCTGCAAAATATTTTACGGAATATTTTGTCCTCCTGCGATTAAGTACAAATATATATCCTTAATACAATAAGAGGGGGTGGGACCTTTTTGGACTACTCGCATTCATATTCTCGGACTTGGGGTTACTAACTTTAGCGTCGAAAGGATCAAGTCAGGAAACCTCTTCCGACCTTAGTTTTCGTGCATATGATATCTCATGAGCTCAGTGTTTCCACCTCAAGCAACTCTATGCATACGGTTCGAACTACGTTGGATTGATCAATGACTTATACTTTTAACACAATATTTGCCTTGTAAAAACTTTCTTTTATGAGAGGTGACTCTCATAATTTATATCTTCTAAGCTCTCATCAGCTAATATTTGATGGATATATTACCTCCAACGAGGAAAGATATTGGCATGTACATGATCTCTCTAGTCTTATGCATTACTTTTCTTTTCATTTTATATATATGCAGAGTGAGATTATATCAGCAAATGTAGATTAAAGTATTGAAAAATAGAAATAAAGAGTGGCCATACCAACTTTATTAGGTTGAGGAAGGTAACCTGCTCCATCTACCAGTCTTTTACTCCACATAATATTATTGTGTTCTGCTAAGTGATCAGTACAAGAATGCTCCTAAAACAGCAGCTTTTACAGATGCACTTGTGATGACAGTTTGATTGAATGTTGAATCCATTATTGTCAGGTTGGTGAGTGATCGACATTCCAAGATGAGCCCTCAGTTGTTCCAGCAAACTCCACCCACCATGAACAACCTTTAACATCCTCCTGCTCTTAGATCTTCTTTTCCCTGGCAGGGGAAGCCATCGAGCCCGATGCATCTCCAATGTACAGTCCCCAAAGAGCTCTGAAAGCTTGGCCCAGTACATGTGCCACCTCTATGTGTCTTGCTTTCCAAACCTTGAAGACATGGCTTCAATCATGGTTGACCCACCACAATGGTAACTCTCACATGTTCATCCTTTTAATTCCTTGACAAAGAGCTCAAGAATCCAATGATGACAGCAACCCCTCCTGCATCAGCCTCAGTTCTCCCCTCTCCTTACTGTAAAGGAATCACCACAAAGAATTAATTACCTTCTGGCAAATCTCAGCTCATCATCCTCTGCTATGCATCTCTCAGTACCCAGACACAAGATAAAGAACAGCTGAGACAGGAAAGTGTACAGGATCCGTGCAGCAAAATCCTTTTCTCCAATCACTTCACTGTTCCTTCCATTGAAAGTTAAGTTACAGGGGAAGGCGAACAAGAAGGGGGACAGAGATGCAGAGGAGTACTAAAAGGAGGGTCGTAATGAGAAGTGCAGTGGTGGTGGTTGGCTCCGCTAGTAGAACCACGATGAAGATGGATGAAGCTAGAGGTGGAATCAAGGTCTTCAATGGAAAAGAGAGTCACAAAAATGACAGCAATGCAGACCAAGGAGGAGAGCGCGGCTGCAGGAGACTGAGGAGAAACCAGAGCGACAGTGTTACCCCTTGTAAGCCATCGAAGGAGAATGCGTTGATTGAGAGGAGTGCAGTCAAGATCCGGAAGGCCAGTTCGGACCTGTCAAACTCTCCGACGACTTCAACCAAGCAGGAGCAAGTTCTGCTACTTGGTGATGGTAATAAAGGCAACGGAGGTGAAGGGAAGGTGGAGAAGGAAGTTGAGATTGAGAGAGAGGAGGGAGATAAGAGCTTTGTCGATAAAAAGATGGATCAGCCGGAGGAGAAACCGATGAGCGTGAGAGAGCAGGAGGAGGAAGATGAGGTGAATTATGAGAACCAGGATATTCCCGTGCCATCACAGGATGCAGAAAAGGATCAGCTTCCTGTGAGTGTGTCATCAATGAACGTGGTGGAAAGCAAGCAGAATCCTGTGACAGAACACAAGGCGATGAATCCAGATCCGGCAGTTCTACCTCATCGTAAGCTGTGAATTCAGCATTCCATTTCTAACAGTTATTTCCAAGTCCTGTTCTTGAGATCTTGGTTTCTTCTGTTTCTGATCAGCTGAAGCGGCAGAAGAAATTTTTGGAAGCAACTCCGCGAAGAACAACAGAATGCAAAGCATTGGTCAGTGCTCACAACCCATTCATCTCCTCAAACAGCTCAGTACATGATTCAACCTCTTGAATTGTTTCAGCAAACTTGGTTATGTGGAGAGACGTATCGAAATCAGCCTTCGTTTTCGGTTCAGGAACCTTCTTCCTCGTCTCCTCCTCCTACACCAACGATATCAACTTCAGGTCAGAAGACAGCATGCTCAAACTGAAACTTAGCATCTCTTGAAGAAACAGAACATTGCAATTGATGGTGTAAATTCCCCCATTGTGCAGCCTAATCTCGGCAAGTTCATATGTTGGGCTCTTCTACCTTGGATTTGCATTCCTTTGTAAGTCCATCTTGCGCAGGTAATGAACTGAAAGGAAACCAACATGCAGAGCAATCCATGTCCTCCGTTTTATAACAGTTCTTTTCTTCCCACGTGACACAGAGGAGAAACAATGGAGTGTGACGAGAGGGATGAGAGGTACATGGTGGGAGAGGAAGAAGCAATCTGGCTCCTAAAGCTGCTCCTTCCTTATGTTAATGAGCTGCTTCTAAAACTCAGAAGCCTCTTCTCCGGTGACCCTGCAACAACTTTGAAGGTAAGAATTTGGATCTGCTCTCAGTATCAGTACTTTGTTCCATGTTGCCTTACAGACAAAGATGTCTAATGTTAGTCATGTTGCTGTGGCAGTTGGCAGTGCTGTTGTTTGTGATGGCAAGGTGTGGAAGCTCCATCACAATCTGGAGTCTTGCCAAACTGAGTAAGATTAGACATGGAAGACAAAAGTAAAGCATTCTTTTTGTCACGCAGCAAAGAGAAGAGAATGAGAGTTTGATTCCTCTGTTTTGCTTGCTGCAGTGTTCTTTGGAGTCTTCACCATCCCAAAGATCTGCTCCTCTTACTCCACTCAGCTGGCAAAATTTGGTCAGTGGATGCAGTAACTTTTGTTTGATTTGATGTGAATCTTTAGTAGAATCCAAGTCACTCCTTAATCCTCTTCTCCACATGCAATTGTTGTTTTGTGCATGTGCAAGCCTTGTGGCATTCTAGATCTGAGGTAATGACCTCACGTGGTACAAGCGCATGCAGGGTTTCTCTGTGTCTCAGACTGCAGGGAAACAGAGTGCACGAGAGAAAGCTCATTCACACGTGGTACAATTTCTCATGCATTGCTGTGCATGGTGTAGGCAAGTTTTGGTTGGAGCGGCTCGGAGATGGATGGGAGTCATGCACCCACAAGAAAGCAGTGGCCACTGCAATCTTCGCCCTCGTTTGGAACATCTCCTCCACGGTTGCTCGCATCTGGGCATGTGAGCATCCTCCTCGTGCATGTGACTCGATCTCCTCAGAGATGAAGAGCTATTCTCCATGACTAATGCTGTGTTCTCTGTTTCGAGGCAGTTTTCATGGTGGTGGTGGCTGTGAAGCTCTACCAGCAATGCGCAGCAGAGCACAGGTGGTGTGGGCAGGAAGAGGAGGGACAAGAAGACGCTGTGGCAGGACAAAGCCAGGGACTTGGATCACACCAACACAGAGGTAGGAATCAGGTGAAGAGAGAGGAGAAGGGGGTAAAAGTAGGAGATCCAAGAGGAGGGGTTGGAAAGAGATCAAAGTGAGTGATGGTTGTCACTTGTGGTACTCTTGTGATGTGATGAAGCTACCTTCACTGGGCACATGCTTTGCTTTCTTACTCCCTGTCAACAACATGATCGATTTTGGTCAGAGCTAATGTTTCTGTCATTCCTCTCTGCACAGTGGTTTCAGAGTCCAATCTTTAATAATATCCTGTCTAATTGGAAGGATCCCAATCTGTTTGTGACCTCTCTCTCTCTCTCTCTCTCTCTCTCTCTCTATATATATATCTTTATAATTATAATTTTTAAACTATAAACATATCT